GATTCATATCAAGAAAAAAAAAATGATCCGAACGGTAGAAGAAAACATAGTTGATTTAAGAAATCGGACCTGCTGACAACAAAGTACACAGAATCCGGTTTCGCTTGAATAGCTGTTTTTGTGAAGCCAAGCTTATCGGCTGGCCATAACTCATCCCCAAAGAAGCTGCTTGTGTACAGAACTTGGTCCCCGGCTTTAAGCCCTGCCCTTGCAGCATTACCACCACTTTCTACAGCCTAAATCAAAACTTACTCAATTTTTATAACTATAAATACAGACAAATCCTGGAAACCATCTATTTTTGTCCAAATATCAACAACCAACTTATATTCTCGACCAAAAAAAATAAAAGAAAATCTGTTAAACATACAAAATTTTGATACTTAACACCATATAGTTCACTTCTAGGCTTCTAGCATCTACTTGCAAACAGGACATTCTTGATTTGGTAAGACTACTACTAGGCAGGCCTAATGATTAGACAATCGGTTGTACTTGTTCAACATATATGCATACTTTCGAACTGTAATGTCATTTCATAACATAGATATGCATTTCATAACAAAGAAACCTTTTTTTTTCTCAAAATTGGGAATGACCCTTCTGTTCACAAGTCCACATCTTTTGTTCAAAAACACGAATATTAGATCGAAGTCGACCCGTTTGATCAATACCGTTCGGGTCCGGGTTTGTGTTTGTGTTATGCAAAGACACTCCACATAATATAATAAGAAATGAATTACTTACTGTGATTACCACACCACCACCTTGCTTTTGGCCCAAAGTCAGGCCCAATGGCTTGTCAACCTCAACCTCAATATTCTTAGCAGCTCCAGCTGCCCTTGCTGTGATCTCAAGGCCCCTTTTTCTGCTAACCACGCCCCCAAAACTGCTACGGACACTCCCAGCAGCTAAAGAATTAAAGGCAGCCCTTTTGGCGTCTTCAATTGACAGCCCATGAAAACTGGTTTTCTGTTATGACCAAAAAAATAAAAATAAATAAAAAAAATAATAATAAAAATCAAGAAATTAAACAAGAAAAGGACAATGGTTCAAAAAACCCCTTTTTATTCCTTTAAAATTGGCACAACCCCACAAACAAGAAAAGAGAAAAATCAAACAGAAGGTGAAAAAAAAAAGTATGAACCTTGAACTGAGGAGTGAGGGAGTAAGTTGAATTGGTTTTGGGAGAGTTGTTTCTGGTGAAAGCCGCTGTACAGGAAGAGGATGCACCAGCAGCCATGGCTGTTGACATGGTGCCCGCGCGCGCGTGAGTGTGTGTCCGTGTGTGGCGCTACGAGGTTTGCTGATTGCAAGTGTTTTTCAGTGGCTTGATTTCGATCTCTGCGGATAGCTTATGAGAGCCACACGCCCTTTTGAACGTAAGGGCGACAACACAGCATGACACTACCCTTTTTTTATTTTTTATTTTTTGTAATTTAATGTAAGCCCGTAATCGAGTCAAGCCGAGCTCGAGATGAACCGGAAATCGAGCTGAAGCTCAACTAGTTTATAACTAATAACGAGTTAAGTTCAAACCTTAACGAGACGATGTCGATCTTCTAGGAGTCGAATTATATAAAATTAAAAAAAAAAAAAAAAAAAAAAAAAAAAATCTATTTTCGAGCCGAGCTGAGCCGAGCCGAACTTGAACCTTAACGAGACGTACTCGAGCTGACCGAGACAAAACTATTTAATTTAACAGCATTATGTGTAAATAATGTGCAGAGTCGAACTTGAGCTCTTGATAATCGAGTTCTAAGTCAAAACTAGCTTGACTCATTAACTAATCGAGCTCGAACGAACTTTGCATGTTTATCAATATTGACAAGCTAAGTTCTAGAAATTACATAAAACAAATCTATTTTTGAACATTAACCAGCATTAAGTTAATTGGAGCTTGTCTCGTTTATCAGTTTTAGCGAGTCGAGTTATAAAAAAGTACGTAAAAAATCATAGTTTTGAACCTTACAAGCAGAGTCCGGCCGAGTCGACCCAGAATTTATGGGCAGCTCATTTAATCTGTGCCTAAATCATCATTTAATGAAAATTGAAAGAAAAATTAAAATAATAATTATTAAAAATACAACTAATTTTGGGCTTCAAAGTGCGTTAAAGAGTTACACACTGAAACTAAGAGCACAAGTCTAGTAGGCTCCCTAAGTAAACATAAGCAATGGGCTACTGTCTCCGCTCATAGAAAGCAGTAAAAGCCCATAAAATGAGCCCGTCTGTAGTCCAATAATGGTTTCAAACTATAAGTCACAGTGAGTTTAGTGAAATACCTAATCATATCAATTAAGAAACCATCAAATGTTACATAATTTTTTAAAATCATTTAATTTATTAAATTTACCATGCATATTAATAAGTAATAATGGTGCTTTATAGCACTTTTATAAAATAAAAAATGAAATCTAGCCATGTTTTTTAAAAAATCAAAATCTAGCCATTTTGGCTTGCAAAAGTACATAATTGCCCTTAAAACCATTTTTTCTTATGTCAAAAGCTTTAAATAACCATTACTTTTTATAAAAAATGAA